TGTCACTTTCCCGCCCTCTGTCTTCCTCTTCTGTTTCTCCTTCTCGCCTGTTTTTTGGTTCTCTCTGTCTCCGAGCGCATCTGCAAAATCGCAAAATCCCCTTGAGCGCTCATGAGCGCTCAAAACCCGCCTGACCGAGTGAGCCACCCCCCCCTTATCTTAGGCGCTCACTGACCGTGCTGAATTAGCTCGCTGATCGATCGTGATCGCCATACGCGTGGCCACTGGGCGATTGGCAGCCCCTTATGGTGGCTAATTAGCCTAGTTAGCTCCCCGGTCATGCTCATAAGCCTCATGAGCCCGCAGTTCGCCCTCATGAGCTCAGTGAGCACATCTCAGGGGCCTGTGAGCCTCATGATCCTCGCCGCATGTGGTAATTATCTATTCAATTTCTAGATTTGCTCACACACACGACTATGAAGGTTTGTTCAAATATTTGTATATAACTGGTATATCTACATGAGCAGAGGCTACAGAGGCTGCTACCAGAGGTACGGGTGCCATAAACGTTACATTACGACGCGTGAAGCCAGAAAGTACCCATACGTACTGTTGTAATCCCCATAGCCCTGGCGGCGTGGCTGGTCGGCGTATCGGCAGTCCATTAACGTACTCGTGCCCGTCGGAGAATGAGCAGTTAGAACGAGGAGTATTGCGACAGTTATAGCGATACGCACCGTGAAAAGACACCAGCACATGTAATGAAGGAGCGGAATGTAATCGGATGGCTAGATGATTGTCAGCGCTAGCCTAGCAGTGGGATACGAGATATGATTACTTACAAAACCGAGGGGTAGCGTGTGTAGTGCGGCTAGTTGTGAGGTACAAGCGACGAGGGAGGGGGTGGCGAAGGGGATAAGGCAGCTACTACCGATGTACGAAGATGCGTGCAAATATAAAGTACATGCCTCGACCGTGCTGGGAGCGTGAGATGTGCCGTGGAAACAGCCAACCGCAATCACAATCACCAATCCGGGTTGATGGATCATCAATCCGAAGCGTCGATTGTGGGGCGATCGCCTCATGGCCGAGTTACGCCTGGCGACGCATCTGCGTATCTATACGGCCTGGTTCTCCTAGTAGTTGGCTTGAACCCCTCGACTCTCCCTCCCCCCATAGCTAACGCTTCATGTGTAGCATAAGCCATCGCGTCAAGCCACATACCAGCCATACTAGCTCTGCATGAGCTTGTTAGGTAAGTACGACGTGCGTCACCATATCAAATTCGCCAATGCTCATGGTTCTTTGGGACTCGAACACTGGCGCGCCGTTGTACTACTTGTACACCTTCCCTACTCCGCCTCCTGGCAACGTGTTGAGTAAGTATTCACACCACTGTATTTAACGCCTACCGTGTCATTAACCCTCGCAAGGCCTCTATCAACATCACGGGATACGACCCGCCAAGCTCGGTGTGCCATATCAATATCTTACTCAGGTTGTATCTGCTCCGTATTAGCGATGTATGCGTCATACGATTGCTGTCACCCGAAATCTGCTGCATAATGTACCTAATCGTGATAATACATATTTTTTATTGCCCATTTAACACGAATGTTAGGCGATATATGTGCCTGTACAATTGGTTATCTCATATGTAACTCACTAGGCTCGTAACCCCCAGTTTAGATCTCACGAGTGGTCATGAATTATTCGTACGGGCTCATGAGACTCATGAGCTGCGGACTAGATCTCATGAGGCTCATGAGCCGCCGGGTGAGCCCATGAGTATCATGAGTTACTGGCTGGGCGCACATGAGGCTCGTGAGCACGAGTCAGGTGATTGGTGAGTGTTCCGTGGCGTTAAACGAGCACTCACCACTGGCTTGGTTCTCATTAAGAAAAAAGTGTTTTGCAGACGCGGTTTGACCTTGTGATCATGTAGCTCGTTAAACATGTATTTAAAAAAAAAAAAAAAGGTGCGAACACGTGACTATCCATTTTTTTTTTTTTTTGAAATACATTTATTACTCGTTACACGAACACTAGTCGAACCACGAGGCGCAAAGCGCAAGAGCCAAAGGAGACGTATACAGGCGGTATAACAGAAGAAGGGGCTACGGTGGAGGAGGCTACGGTGGTGGCGAGAGGAGAGGAGAGAGAGAGAAAAAAAGGAACAAAGCGGCCGTCTCGAGACGGGCAATCTAACTACGTGAGTTTGCGGAAGGCGTTAGAGCAAGAAAGAAACATAACAACGGCTTGTAAGCCTAAGATAGAACTGAACAAATCGGTGATGCATAGGAAGCGCGATGCCTTGCGAAGCGCGATGCGGGCGTCATTGTGTCGCGGGCATTCGATAAGTATATGTGTTATGGATTGCGAGGTGGTGTTGTCACACGGGCACGAAGGATCAGGGGGCTCCTTCAGTCTTTTCTTCTTCCCAATGAAGCGTGGGTAATATTCTCCGTAAAATGCGTGACCGAGAATAATTTGGAAAAGTCGACAGTGGGTGGCGCGGGAATACCCCTTCTGTGTGATATATTGCTGGTGGAACGGGTGGAGGTGCCAGCGGGGGGGACACGTGACTATCCAAGGTTCTATTCTAATGTTATCACCCATAAGAACGACAATTCCGCTCACCATTCTTCGCCAAAAGTATCCTAGAGTACATAAAGCCACACTCAGACGCTCTGCGCACCACGCCAAAGGCCTCAAACCAAGGGCGGGTGGTGGCTGGATGAGGGGGTCTCAAGGGATGTCCACATAGTCACACTCTGGATGGCTCAACAGCTGCGGATACTATAGTAGGTGCTATTTATATGCATGTTAGCAGAAGAAAATGAATTTAATCGGACTTGTAGACGGGATTTTAGACGGGTTGAGGCGGAAAAGAACGTTTCGATAGTCACGTGTTCGCACCGTGACTAAGCGGATATAACGCTTCCACAAACTGTCTAGTATATAGTAATTGTTTTTGAAACCTCCAGTACGGCCGCCTGGTGTAGTTGGTTATCACGCATCCTTCACATCTGGATCGGATGAGGTCTTGGGTTCAAGTCCCAAGGTGGTCAGCCTTTTTGACACTGCTGATATGCGCCGTTTCCGTCGCTTTCAATCCTGGTATTTATACTTTATTTTATTTATTTATTGTTTCCTGTATGTGCGCACAGAAAGGTTGGAGGCAAACAACGACAAGCTGACAGTGCCGGTGAAACGCGTGACACAACGTTTTTTTCGATACATATTTAATGTGCTACACGAACACAAGGTCGAACCGCACAGAGAGAAAGGAACACAGCGGAGAGCAAGTAAAGAGCATAACAAGGGGGTTAACAACGGGAAGAAAAACCTTATAAGTTCTGAGCCGGCGTGTAAGCTAAGCTAACTATCTAACAACTACGATAGATAGAGAACTAATGTCCAAGAAAGGCCGAAGAGGAAGAAAGAAATAAAGCGATGGCCCTAAGACCTTTATACGAGCCAAACAGGGGTTCGAGCTGAACACGTGATGAGTTCGATCCTGGAGGTGGTCATTCTTTTTAGTACTGTTGCTATGCGCCATTTCCGTCGCTTGCAGCCCTGGTATTTTTTCTCATTTTATTTTATTTTTTGTCTCCCGTATGTGCATACAGAAAGGCTGGAGGTAAACAATGACAAGCTGACAGCGCCGGCGGAGCACGTGACACAACGCTCCTCTTCATCAGACTTAATCATCCTGCAGCACTATTTCGAACATTATCATGGCTGGAGATCATGGTAAGTTAGGGCGAAATATTTGCTACAAGACTGTCTGAACCGAAGTTTTACAGGAACTATCAAAGTTAGTCTAAGATTATTTGGTTCACTCTCGAGTCCTTACGAGCATCACAGATTGACCCTGCCATTGAGCGGTGGGGGGCCATGGTACGCGAGGCCAATCTATGTTTCGTTACAAATTCCCTAACCTGCGCTACTTTGATAGAGAGACAATCTCTGGCAAGGGTTTCGTATGACTCCTTACGCCGCTCGCAAGGTGGCCATCTGGCTTGGAGTTGTACCACTATCTATGGGATTGATGGCTCTCACGCTTGATGTGAGTAACCTTCATACTGAATGATTGCCCAATTTATGAGTGTTGGTGTCATAGCGAAAAATTGAATGGAAAGCCAAGCGCAAAGGAGAATCACTCCTCAGGAACCCGCCTGCCCCCGTTGCTCCCGCCGAGGAGTAAGCATGTACTTTGAATAACATCGCTTTGCTCTAAACGAACGAAAAATTCGAATGGATAGCAAAGCCAAAAGCGAATACATATATACAAATTAACGCTGCTTAATAGAGTCCATAAAGTTATCTAGACCCAACCCGGAATACTCGTCCTCGCGTGGCAAATCCTCCAGCCCCTCGAGCACGTGCTTCTGCGAGACCGGCCCTCCGGCAGCTTTTTTCTCCTCTCGTTTCTTCTTTGCTGCCGCATCTTCTTCCTCGGTAGTACGTTTGAACAAGTCCAGCACTTGGTCTGTGTCCATCGAGGCGAGCCCCGAGTTTTGTTGCGTGATGACCGAGTTGGCAATATTGAGTTTGAAGCGTTGTAACCTGAATACCGGGTCAGTAGTGTCCAGGCATGCTTGAAAAGTTGAACCCACCCCATGATCTTCTCCTCCAAAGTGCCTTTGGTGATCAATCTGTATACATTGACGACCTTCTTCTGACCCAGACGGTGTGCACGATCCATAGCCTGTAGGTCTTTCATCGGGTTCCAATCGTGCTCCACAAATATGACAGTGTCGGCGCCAGTCAGCGTTAAACCGAGACCACCCACGCTCGTAGTTAGGAGTAGGCAATCGATACTTGGGTCCGAGTTGAATGTCTGCACTACCCCATGACGTTGGTTGGCGGGAGTCGACCCATCGAGTCGCATATACGTGACCGATGGCATGAGCACACGGAAAAGGTCTTCCTCGATGATATCTAGCATTTGGCGCATCTGACAGAAGATGAGCACTCGGTGCTGCGACGAGATGTCCGTATCTTCGGCCGACTTTAAGGCATCGCCATCTTCACTAGCTGCATTTCCGATGCCACAATCATTTAGCAATTGCCTAGAGAGGTATGTTACTCGACCAGTTACTGCTATACTAGAAACGGGACTTACCTTAATGCAAGCAATTTTGGTGCATGTCGTACATCACGTATGCTCTTCGAAGCACCTTCACCCTTGGATGAACTCGAGAATCGCTCCACCAAATCAGCCTCTTCTTTCGCATCCTTAACAATGAGCGCAGGGTGATTGCAAAGTTTTCGCAAATACTGCAGAGACTGGAATACGTGTTGTTGATTTGGATTCGCGGATTTGGATGTGACCGCGCCTTGAACGGTGTCTCCCGCTTGAGACTGTGCAAAAGCATCGTAGAGGTGCTTCTGCATGTCGGATAATTCGCAATAGTGGTCTTGGATGATCTTTGGCGGCAGGTCATTGAGCACCTGTTCTTTGAGTCGACGTAGCAAAAAGGGCAGGACTTGTTTGTGCAGCGCCTCGAGAGCCAGAGTCGCTACAGAACAGTCAGCCTACGAATTTCGGGATGGCTTTAAAACTGACCTGCTTCACGAGTCTTGGCCGACGCTTTTGCGTCTTTATTCGCCAGGATTGGCTTCCCAAATCGCTCGTTAAACTGCTGCTCTGTTCCAAGGAATCCAGGCATAAGGAAATCAAACAAGCTCCAGAGTTCCAGTACATTATTCTGAATCGGTGTCCCAGAGAGCAATAGCCTATGATGTGCGTTGATCATCTTGACCGCCTGAGTGATCTTTGTCTTGCCGTTTTTGATTTGGTGGCCCTCGTCCAAGATACAATAATGCCAATTAAATTGAGACAAATTCGCGATATCATTTCGCACCGAGTCGTACGATGCAATCACGACGTCTTGGTGCTGAATCTGGTCGACAAGGCGTTGTCGATCGCGGCTGGTACCAACGTAGCGCAGAGCTTTAAGGTTGTTGGTGTATTTGGTGATTTCGGCGTGCCAGTGTCCGGTGAGTGTTGTTGGACAGATAATCAAGGACGGGATGTGGACCGAGTCTGGAGACTTGGTTGCTTTGTATCGCTCTGCACGCTCGTGATGTTTACTTGCGAGGATACAGATCGACTGGAGTGTCTTGCCCAGGCCCATATCTTCAAAGGATTCAATCGAAACGCAAAAATAAAAAAATACATGATACTCACCATCGCATAGGATGCCATGAAGCTGGTACTTGGCCAAAAACGCCAACCAGTTCACACCCTCTTGCTGGTATTTGCGCAACTCTGCATTTATCTTGACTGGAATTTCGTATGGTGTGACCTTGCTGCCATCCAGAAGCTGCGTCAAAAATTCGCGTTCCGATTCGCGTTTTGCCAGTAGCTCTTCCGAGAACCCGGGCGGATCGGGCAAGCCAGACTACGGAGTCAAGTGGTAAGCTTCAAGGGAGATGCTGGGTAGCCAGATAGCCCTACCTCGAGAGGCACCATCCTTACGAGCGAGGCAAATGTGTTGGTCGCAACATACCGACAATCGTTGTCATTATCGCTCATTCGCCCAAGCACGGGTACGATCATGAAGATCACGTAGGGTAGTACCTTCAAGTCTAGCTTTTGCACAATATCTACCGTCTCCAGTTAGTACCGATATCACCCACTGTTAACCGCCACTCACGATAAATAAGTTCCATCGTGCCCTGCCGATTCTCCAACACGGTCGTGTCACCCAAGAACGGTAACACTTCCTCGACCACGAACCGCATACCCTTGATAGTAATTGTATTGCAGAGCGTAGCGAGGGATCGACTCGCCGCCTGGCGTACGAGCGCATATTTGCTCCGGAGCGCCCGCGCAATTGAAGGAAAGAGCTCAACGACCCGGTCGTGTAGCGACTCATCAAGACTCGGGACGACAACGTGCAAGACAGTGAGGCTATCAATCACTTGCTGTCCCACCGCATCCGCTTTCTCAATCTTCTTGTCCCCATCGACATCTTACACCCCTTGAGCATACAAAGTCCCACCGGAAACGACCAGGAACTCACCTTCACCAAACGCATCCGTCAACCCACCGACCATTGAATCCCACATCTGCTTTAATCGCGTAAACAACTCAGACCCAAACAGCCCCCCAAGCCTCATCAATGCAAGCTGCGCTCCGCGCTTGACGATCCGCGCCTTGGCCGCCTCGGGTGCTTCCGCCGCGTCGTCCTTGGCCTTGCTCGATGCAGACGGTTTAGCCGCCATGAGTTTGCAGGTGAGCACTCCGGCGTGTACACGTCGGGATTGGGTAAAGACGGGCGTGACCTCGGTATCTTGGCAGACGAACGCGCAGAGGTTTTTCACGATTTTCTCGGCGGGCATGACGGCGAGGCCGGATGAGGGGGTTGTGCAGTCTGAAACAAATACTGCGACGGCGTTTGCGGATCTCGTTTGAATGTCCAAGTTGTCTTCGAACTAACTCCTACTCAGCATCCA